AGGGAGTCTGGAGACAGCAGGACTTTCCTGGTGCCAGCTGCCTCCTCCAGACTGTCTCTGAGGGCTTCCTTACTTCCTGGACCCTCAGTGTTTCCAGGAGAACTTTGTCATACAAGTTTAGGCCTGAGACCCTTGCATCATTTACTCCCTTTCCTTCCATAATGGGGGGTCCATTCCATTCACCCCACTTGTTCACATCTCCCCCAGATATACTGTTTGGTGTGCTCAGCTCCTATGGCTAGGTCTAGGCATTAGAGAGTTGTCCCTGCCCTGGCAAAGACTCCTGATGGTAGGCAGTTCTGGTGCCCCCTCAGGGTTTGTTCCCTCCTTAGTTATTCTACTGATCCAAAAAGTAACTCCTGTTGGGAATTTCTTTTGGTCCTCATACACTGTCTCCATGCTGGAATTGAGGACCACCTGATTTCCCATTAGCTCCTCAAAAGGAAAGTGTTTGTGAGCACAAGTCTTTGTAGTGGGTCCAGGTAGAAATCTGCTATTGACTATTTCTAAATTATACTACCTGGGCTTGATGTTGAATAAGTTAGGGTCTAGAAGAGCTAGGCTTGCATAGGCAACCTGATGAGGAACCGTACTGGTGAAGCAGTGACTGTTAACTGTTTGGGACTTCAAGGTTTAATAGTTAGTTTTAATAGTTAAGATTTTCTTTGGGGTTGTGTATTTTCCCCTTTTTCCTTTGTGATAAACCCTGTTTAATGTTGCTTGTGAGTAGGGAAGTTTGTTTACTTGTGAACACCCTTTCCATGTCTGAGAAAAAGCAGACACAGGTGGGGCTAAATAACACATCTGAAAAGGGAGGTGAGCCAAAAGCATTATGAAATCTACTGATGTTTCTGCTATTGTTGATTTTATGTGGAAACCTCTGAGCTGCTATGGGGATAGGTGGTATATAAAACATGTAGATATTGGGAAGAACTGTTTCCTGTTGAAATGTTGAAGTACTGTCATTTCTATCAGATGAAAATGAATTCCTCAATAAGAGAAATATTTTAATACAACAGGCTTCACTGCATAAAAAATAGATCAGACATGAAACTGAGCAGTAGTTGAAGCTTTACACTGAAGTCACTGATAGTTATGTTTCAACTGCCATTTATCACCATTATAAAGAAGGACTTGTGGAAAAGAAATGTTGGATTTGATATATCATTTATCAAATATATTCATGTTTTAGGAAACAAGGATGACCCAGATTTCAGCTGCAAAAGCAATGCTTTAAAATAAGGTAGAGTCAACCATTATGTTGACTTCTAAATCATGTACTTTTACCTCCTGAGACTTTTTGGGAGATAAGGACTTCAGAATTTGGGGAGAAGTCATAATTTTTATCAAAGTATTATTGCAGTCTAACAGCTTGATAAACTGAATGCAAATGTTGTACAGTACTTTCAAATAGCTAGAGGAATTCAGTTTTTAGTAGCTTCAGATGTTCAAAATTCAACCTCTACAAAATGCAAGTCAAGAGTTATAATAGTTTTAATGGAATATTAGGCATTATAAATGTGATCCTCAAGAGTTGTAGGACGTGGAATGTGGCAGCTGTTTTTTTGGGAGAAAGTTAAGGGGTGTATGCCAGAAAATATGGTATTCAATATATTGTGGTGTTATTTTTCTAGAGGAACTGGCACTTAAACATAAAAAGCTAAATAAAAAGAAAAAATAGAAACCAAACATTTCTCTTCTTCTTTAAGATGAACAAATAGAAAGGCCTTCAGGTGTTGGCAATATTTCTTTCTTGTCAGCAGAACTTTTCTAAATGAAATTAACAGCAAATGAGATATTTCTAAATGATATTACTTTCCCCCAGAAATAGTTTTTACTTCCATTTGACAAATATTGAGACAGTGTTAACCCATTTGTCATGGATTTAATGCTAACAGTAAATACCATTAAAACATTTGTAGCATGCTTTTTGTATAATAAACTTCTCTCTCTTTAATGATCTAAAATGATTTAATCCATGAACCGCATCTTATATAGCTGTAAAACAGAACAGGGAGTGAAAGACACAGACATTTGCAGGGCATATTTGGCTTTAATATTTCCTCCTTAAATATTAAGGAGGCATAAGACATTTTTTAGATAAATGGAAGCTGTTTCTTTTAATACGTATCTTCATGCTGTAGACTGTATTATTTCAGAATATTTGTTGAGGTTTTGTCCAGTATCCTGAAGAAGAGGCTGTTGTCTTAGGCTAGGTACAGATGTTGCACGTAATTTGGAGTAAGTGATTGGAAAGTGAACCAAACTTGGAACTGTATAGAAGTTTGGGGCACGTAGACTGGTCTAAAAATGGAGGAACCTGGTCTAACATAGTCCTGGATCGACGTGCACTCAAACTTATTTGAATTAGGTAAGTCTGGTGTGTCAAATTTCTGTACCATATTTCCTATTTGAATGATGTTAGGTTGCTGTCTGCTAGCATCCCAGGTTCCTCTGAGGCCCCGCCCCTGCTGTCCCCCGCACTACTTGCAGGGAGGCACTCTACCACTTGGCCTGTGCTTGTCTGCTCTGTGGGCCCTGCCCCTCAGCTATCCCACACCTGAGCCAGCAAAAGCCTCAGTCCCAAGCACTGACTCCTGCCTATGGCAAGTTGTCAGCTGCAGCCAGGCAGCAGGGGGGAGTGAGTGGAGGCTTTTGCTGCATGGACCCAGCCCTGGCTCCCAGACCTGAGCCAGCAAAGCCTCTGTCCCCAGCCCTGCGTCCTACCTGTGGCCAATTGTCACTTGTAGCAAGGCAGTGGGGAGGGAGTTGGTGGGGAGGGGAGTAGGAATAGAGGCTTCTGCTGCATGGACCTGGCAGCTCATCAGGACTGATCCGGCCACTTGGCTTTGCCTGGCATCTCTGGCAGTCCAGGGAGCTTCCCTTGGGGCTTCCTAAGAGGTGTGCAGGAGCACCCCAACCTGCTGGCCTCAGCCAGTATAGGCAACTTGTTCACCTATGCTGCTTACAGAAAACTGCATAATTTAGATGAATTCTGCCTTGGGCTTTTGAAACATCTGTACTTAGCTTTAGTTTTCACCTTTGTGACTGATTTATAATGAGAGTTTGGAAAATCATATACCTGTATCTGTTTATCTGTCAGCAAAATGGATGGAATAATATCTGTTAGCAGGCTAAGTTAATTAAATTTGGTAAAAGTGCTTTGAGTTACTAAGTTAAAATGATTTGGAAGTGCAAAGAATTTAAAAATAATATTGTTGTTAAAGTCTAAAATGTGATGGGCTCTGAGTTTGACACTTATTTAACATGACTTGTCTATTGTGAGTATTCTAGTGTACTATTACAGATGACCAGTTAAGGGGAATCACATGATCTTAAGAATGGGCAAGGAAGACTTATTTTAGCTGCTGTTTTTGGAGAGGCTACAGGCTAATGGAATACAAAGAACAGACATCAGTGACAATAGTTTGAGATGACTAGTGGTAGTGAAATGATCTGCAGGCAATCTACGGGGCAATTAAGAGAAGTCAAGCCAGCAGTATGGCTCATTTGAAGAGTTAAAGGTAGCTAGCTGAAACATACTTATGATGCATGGTGTTTTGTTGAAACTGGAACACTTGGTGGAGAAGTTTTAGTTTTGATGAAACTTTTGCCAGGACGGTTTTAACAGAGAGGCTTAAAAGAATGGGCTTATGTGTGTATCTGTGAGACTGAGTGAGCAAGTGTGCACACTTGTTTCATAGTTTCTAGTGTTGGAAGGGACCTGAACAGATCATCAAGTGTGACCCCCTGCCCTGGGCAGGAACGAGTGCTGGGATCATACACCCCACCCAGATATCTATCCAACCTCCTCTTGAAGACCCCCAAGGTAAGGGAGAGCACCACCTCCCTTGGGAGCCCATTCCAGAGCCTGGCAGCCCTAACCATAAAGTAATGCCTCCTGATATCAAGCCTGAGCTTGCTCTCAATCAACTTGTGGCTGTTACTCCTTGTTATCCCAGGTACTCCATTAACAGCCTTTTAAGTTGCACTTTTGTACCTATGCATATATAGCACAAACTATGCATGATATTAGTCCAAGGCCAAAAGGCTCATGATTTACCATAGAGTTCACTAGGCTGGGCCCCAGCAGGGTCAACAGCATTAAAAATCATAGTGACTCCACAGCTGAGTACTGCTCAGATCCTAGCACAACCCCCACTTCCCCTGCAAAAGGAGCCATCTGCTAATTACCCCCTAACTCATGACTGGAACTGCATGTTCTTGTCATGAATCCTGTACATGGGCGAATCCAGGAGAAGTGTGAGGGGGTTGCAGCCAAACCCCTGTCAGCTGTGCAGCACATGTGGAGTGAGTTCTCTGAGCTCCCAGCCGGTTTGTGTGGACTCCTGCTGGAGTTCTGCCTATTCAGGGAGCTCTCTGAGCTCATCAGCTAGTTGGCGTGGGCTCTTGCTGGAGCCACTGCTTTTGTGCAGCTCCAGAGCCCTGGAGGTGATCACATCATTGTTAAATCTTTCCCAACAAACCATTTCCCATGCTGAATTTGACGGCAAGGGAAAAAGTGAGAGGGGGGGAAATGAATTCACCTCCAGTCCCTGTAGCGGTGTGAAAACAGTGGTTCTAGCAGGGGACCAGCTGTACTGACCAGCTAGTGAGCTTGGAGAGCTCATTGTGCATGCAGTGCACAACCCAATGGGAGGGGGTGCATCCACATCACTAAAACCCCTCCTTGGAAGCGTGTTTGTCTATAGGTGTGATTAGGGTGCTGGCCTTTGATGTTAGGGACCAAGGTTCAAGTTCCCTGTACTGTCTGATTTGGGATACAGAACTCTTCTCTAAATTGGACAGAGTTGGTCCTTCATGATGGGGCTCCCACATCCCAGGCCAGTCTCCGTTCACACAGGGTTTTGTTTTTGTTTTAATGAGAAACAAGTTTGAAAAAAAAAAAGGTTGCTTTGAAGTGGCCGGCTCAACTGAAAGGGTAGGAGTCAAGTAGAGGCTTAAAAAGCTTTTCAATATTTTTTTGCCATTTCTTACAGATTGTCCATAGAACCCTTGCGGCGATGCTGGGCTCCCTGGCAGCTTTGGCTGCACTAGCTGTGGCAGGGGAAGTAAGTTGCCATATTCAAGTATTCAGTTTATGTCTGTGTATTGCATCATAAGCTCCCATGATTATCTTTCTGAAAATGACCACAGAGTTTTGCAGTCTTTATGGGGCAGAAAGTGCTATAAGAATAATATTTAATTTTGGGGATCATGAAAGAGAAGGTCTGTTTTCCAGCCTCAAACAGAAGAAAAGGAGATGAAGGTGGTGTGATATTTTGAATTTGCAGGGAGAGGAACATGACCATTTTCAGTTTTATTCAGATAAGCTCTAATACTGTTGTTTTCAGTTACGTTTGTATTAGTCAAATTGGAAGGCTTGGGCTCCCTTAAATATTTACACCTTGGGGCTCATACCTTCCCACATCTATCCCCAGTTGATATTTAGCAACATTATATGCCTTTAATTCTTTCTCATAAACCAGTCCCTGTGTCATTGCTATTCTCCAGTTTGCCACAGGTAAAGTTTGCCAGTAAAGGACACTAACTATAATCCAGTTTTCCTTAATTTCTATAATGCTGTGATAGAAGCAAACAATCAAAAAGCGTAATGCAAACATTACATAATGAACTATGCAGGTTGTCAGCATTTTTCAGAGGTAATAGAAAACAGCCCCCTTTGGGTACCTTGGAGAAATACTAATTAATTTTCATCATGGTTTATTTAAATGGCCACCAATTAAACAGAGTTTGTAGTTCCACAGCTAATCACTAGTTATGCGATTGGCATGGCTGACTGATAATTGTATCATTTGTTTGCAGAGGCCAAGCATGGTCAAAGTGGTGCAGTGGATTGATTATGAAACTCTGGCGCTGTTGTTTGGAATGGTAATTAAAATGCATCTTTTGCTCTAAAACTGCTGGAGTAATTGTTTTTGATACTTCACTGTTTCTTTTTATTTTGTTAACAGTGCTTTCATGGAGTGATGCCATGCTGAAAATTTGGCCCCTTTTGGGTGTCTCAGAATTGGAACCACTCTGAAAATATTCAGAGTGTACTCTATCTGTCTCTTCATCTGTAAAATGGGGATAATAACACATTCAAAAGATCTATGAGAACTATTAGCGAAAGGCCTGTATGAGTGCCAAGTGTTATGACTGTCATTTATCTTATTAATTTTGTTTACTCAAAATCTTCCTCAAACTAACTCTGCTAGAGAGAGTGGTTTTCCTTTGTCCTACACATCATTGTATTTGGAGGTGGAATGAGAAATGTAGAGACAAAAGCACGCATCTAACCTGGCTGTAATAATATATTTATTTTTCTGCCCAATCTTATTTCTAATAAGCTGTGTTGTCTAGCATTAGTGAAGCAGATGGATGGTGTCAGGCAACTTTCCAGAATTATGGAAAACATGTATGCAACTTTCTAGAGCTAATGTCTTCTGGACCTTACAGAACAATGCTGAAGAAAATATGCTAATGGATACTCTTGATTAGTGGCCCAGGGTAGATATCTTTAGCATATATTCCCTGCCAAGTAATTAGGAATGGAAATCACTCCCAGCGGGAGGGCGATCACAAGGTTTATGCACCACTTACATGTGAAAAAGGACTGCTGCCCTTCTGCAGAAGGGTAAATTACATTGTAAAAACTAAATTTGACTTTTATTGCTTAGCATCCTGATGTTGGGGTCCTGGGGTCTCAAAAAAGTGTGTGGGGGGCGGGGAGGAATGACCAAAATTATGATAGAAGTGCAGACTCCTTGGGAAAGCAACACACCATGGCATTGTCCTGTTGGGAAAATAATTCCATTTCAAAACAAATCTTTTTTCTTTACCTTTTTCTGTAGATGCTTCTGGTGGCCATATTTTCTGAAACTGGATTTTTTGATTACTGTGCAGTAAAGGTAGGTTTGTTGTGACACTTGCCATTGACTTTTTTTTAAACACTACTACACTCTCACATTTCTTTCAGTGCAGCCTACATTCATCCCGCTATGTAAGATAACAATGGCTGACAGATAGATAACTTGTAAATTGTTTAAGCAAGTGTTTGAGAAAGCTTTTAAAGCTGTGGTATGCAAATTAGACTTTTGTGGAGGACTCCTGGCAAGGTGCACTTTCCATGCATAAATAAAACAGCAGCGCAAAACTGCCCACTGGATAGGAGTTGGAGCTCAATTCATGCAAAGTTTCCCATATAAACCTTGTTTACTTGAATTTTCTGAGAGTGAGAGGAGGGAAGAGAATCTGGATTTTCTTTCTGGTTCTGGCACAGATTCCCTGCATGATGTTTAGTAGAGCACTATTTATTGCTCTGCCTGTTTTCTCCCCTGTTAAATGGAAGGTTTTGCATACTACTTATCGGCCTAATGCAGCGGGGGACAACTTTTTTGGCAGGCATTCCACTAATTAGCCCAAACACCCTTGCTGCATACTACTCCCATCCCCTTCTGCTTGTTTAGCTACTCTGTTTTCCATTTACTGCCCTGTGCCTCTGGCTGATCTGCTGCTCTGCTTTCTGCTCCCTGCCCTGTCTGCCTCTCCCTTCCTCTGTCTGCTGTGTGTCACACACAGAGACTATCCATGCCACTTGTAGCACGTGCTGTAGGTGGCCACCTCTGGCCTAGAGAATATTTCCCAATGATGTTGCACCATCTCTGTAAGTTTGTGTACTGATTAGGGCTGTGTGAAACAGCACCGTTTTGTTTCAACTTCTGTTTTGCCATTTCGAAGGGACAGTGTTTCATTTTGTTGTTTCATTTCATTTTGAAGCACTGTTCTGTTTCGTCCATAGGCTATAATGGGGAATCATGAAAATGCCTATGACTTTGTCATTTCCTGCCTGATTCAGATGCAAATTGCAGGGATGGTAGACCCCTTCTGAGGGCATGAAGCTTGCTCAGTTTCAAGGAGTTAGGTGCAGGAGTTTCTGGGAAACTGCACCTCAAACTGTTCAAAGCAAAACTCATATCACTTGCCCATAGCGGCAGCCTGCTGTCATCCTGTGCACAGATCTGGGGGCCCATGTTCCCCAGGAAGGTTGCGGGGCTGTGCTGGACTCTTCCTGTGGGGTGCGGGTCCCCAGATCTGCATGCACGATGACAGGATGCTGCCACTGCTGGCTGGGGCCAGCACCAGCACCAGGCTTCCTGGCATCATCCTGCGCCCCCCAGGAGGAGTCTAGCACAACCCTGCAGCCCTCCCAGGGGGCACAGGGTCCCAGATCTGCACATGGGATGACAGCATGCTGCCACTGCTGGCTGGGGCCAGTGGCAGTACCAGGCTTCCCAGTGCTTGGCATGGGCTGTGCCTACCGCCAGTCCCAGCTGGCAGCGGCAGCCTGCTGTCATCCTGCATCATCTGGGGGCCTGCACCCCCCAGGAAGAGCTGGGGGAAGCTATCAGAGAGCTGGGGGAAAGATCGGGGAGCTGGAGGAAGCAATAAGAGAGCTGGGGACTCAAACAGGGTGTTGGGGAATTGAACTGGGAGCTGGGGTAATGTTCGGGCAGAGAGCAGTCTTTCCCCGCTCTTTGCCCTCCCTCTCCTTAGTTTCTGTCTAACTGCAGCAAGCCTGGCTTTGCAAGTTGAAATGTTTTGAAACTTTCAAAATGTTTCAAGTGCCCTTATTTCATTTCAAAGTTCTTTCGAAGGCTTTTGTTTTGTTTTGACTTCGTGGTTTTGAGCTCGAATCGAATCAAAACAGCTTTGAAATGAAACACCTGTTGAAATGAAACTGAAAAATTAGATTCAGTACCTTTATGTCATTGCTTTTTGTTTTCCTTAGGCTTACCGATTATCTAGAGGCAGAGTGTGGGCTATGA